TTTTAAAAGGATTAGCTGATCTTCATAGGTGCCCAAATCCTATTCTACATCGGGATTTGAAGCCTTCCAATGTTCTGCGAGACTCAAAAAGCAAATTTCTTATAGCTGACTTTGGCATAAGTCGAATATTGAAGGATGATTCTACGACATATGAAAGCAATACTTCCATGGGAACTGTGCATTGGATAGCTCCTGAATCATATTGCGAAGATGATGATTCAGGATATAAAGCCTGTTACAATAGAAGGTCTGATGTATATGTAAGTGTAGGAATGTAAACATTTGCAAGTTGCAAAGAAATTCAATGTTGTGAAATTGCATTTTGATGTAAAGCTTTTTATTATTTTAGAATGCAGGGATGGTAGCTTATTATGTAACAACAAAAGGAAAACATCCTTTTGGAACTAAACTATATAGACAGATCAACATGTTAAAAGGAAACCCTGTTGGTTTGGATGAAATCGAAGATGAAACACTAAAGGACCTTCTGTCGTGGATGTTAAATCTAAAACCTGAAGACAGACCATATTCTAACGAAGCATTAAAACACCCGTTTCTCATGTCAGACGATGAGAAGTTTCAAATGTTATGTAAAGTTGGGAACCTTCCACAGATTAAGACAAATGATCCCCAGTAAAGTGTCGTTCAAAAATTGAATAGCGAATCCGTATATTGGAAAAGTCAAATGGATTGGAATGTCTATGATTATTTTCGCGCGTACGAGGAAAATGGGAAAATCAGTAAGGTCCGTTATAAATCTTCATGGCCAGAATGCTTAAGATTCATTCGAAATATTGATCAGCATTGGAACGATCTACCACGACCTCTACCACAACCAGAACCATTTTATAAGATTGGCGATTACAGGGCGTATTTTCTCCGAACATTTCCTAATCTCCCTGTTCGGGTACATGCTGCTGTCAGGTCAAATGAAGAATTGAAAAACAAACCAGAACTCAAGAACTTTTTTAATTTTAATGAAAGCGAACTACATCAATAAACAATTCAGATACAACAGAACTTGTTGGGGGTAAAAATGTAGCAATTAAGAAATCATTGATACTGTAGAGATCTTATTTTATAGATATAAAGAAAAACAGTTTCCACGACGTATTTAGATGATATTTTACCACATTTCTGCTGAATCTATAGCCTGTGGTATTCATTGATACATTTTAATATACCTGATTATTTAATTGTTACTGTAAATTGTTTTGGAAAAAGACCGAATGCGAACATGACATTAAAAGTTAACTTTTATGTTTGGCTGCACTGAAAAATTTTGCTCTACATTTATCCAATATACTAAACTCGTATACGATAAAAAATAATATTTCTGAACTTATTATAATTACTAAAAGTCTAGCCTTGGTGTTTTGGTCTCTTGGGAGCTTCTTATCTTATAAACCTGACCATCAGAAGTTGTGCTTAATTCCTTAAGTAGAATCTTTTGTGTTTTACTATCTCGCATTAATTACGTAGCTGTCAATATAAAATAGTTGAATTAAATAACATTTTCATGAGATTGAGTGAGTGACAGCATTTCGTCTAATGATTTGTACATGGACACAATAATATTTTAATTAGTTTTATATGAAAATATTCATAGTTGTTATCATTTTCTGATATTTTGCTTATTTCATGCGTGTAACCATGACAATTATTTTATGCCTAAATCCATACAACTAAAATGCAAGTGCTGTGTATTTAGGATTTCTTAAATTAATATTGCATATACGCCTAAATACACGTATGGTTAACTGCAGCGCTCTCTATTGCCTATATTCTGAAAACTCTCTCACACTCACATTTACTGAGTAAAGTTTCAAAATAATCTTATAACTGCTGGAAGACCTTGTACTTACTCCACAGATAGAAAATAGTGCAAAGTTATGTTGATTTTATCATCTCAGATCCCATATCATCTGGTAGGTATCCACACATTAATGTCACATTAAAGCATTCAGTAATAGTTGTGTGACAGTTTTAGTTTAAAGTTTTGTAAATCATTTATATAAATTTTGAGCTTTTGGGCTTTATTTTATTGAATTAACTTCGCAAAGAGCATACTATAACAACAAAAGTACGTAAATAACTTCTAAATGACAAAGAACAATGCTACAGCTTTCTCCAGTTACTGCAGCCTTTTAAACACAACGTTGCAAAAATTAAAAACAACGCGGATTACATAATGTATAATAAGTGCGAAAAATGTTTCTAGAATTGACGAAGACTGACATTTTGGATTTATTCTAGAGGGTACTGCATCTATTTATTTAAGATTTTAGAAACGTTCTCATTTTACAATGAGTTATAACATACGACAGCTAGATTTTCTGGATAGTACAAACGTGATTGCCTTTGGAAGCGAGGACTGGCTTGTAATAGTAACTAATCTTCATCAATCTTCACAAGACTATAAATTATTTTGTATTCGTTTACAAACCAAATAGTATGCTTTTTTTAAGGACCTATGACACGAAAATTCTTATGTTTGCAATGACAGTGTACTTTTTAAAACAGTTTATGCATATCACTTTTAACTCTTGAGATATTGAGGACTATGCTATGTCCGACTTATCTAACTTGTGACGTCACATTGCATAATGAGAGTTAGGAGTATTAGGTATATTTAACAATACTTTACTTCACAAGGACATAGTTTTATTTGTTGTGACGTGTTTGATGATATAAAATGCTGCCTATTAGTATCAACCTAAAGTTGTCAGGAAAATGAAAAGTATTTGAGACATTTTTAGAACTCATTATGCAATATGACGTCACAAGTTGGATGAAATAGAAATAACAAAAAATTCAATATCTCGCGAAGGAAAAGTGATATGCATTAACTGTTTTAGACAGTACACTGTCATCTCAAAAGTTCTGGTGATTACAAACATAAAAAATTCATGTCATAGGCACTTTAAACGTCAAAAGTAGTTTTACATTTCCAAATATAACATCGGGCTGAATTGTAAGGGATATTTTAACCACTTAGTAAATATGTATGCTTTATAACTTAGGAAGCGATAGATAAAACTGATAAACCACCTGCTGAAATTCACTATCCACCAGCTAGAGGACACCTTTCACTTGAGGGAAACGAATGTAAATTATAATCCCATTTACCCCCAAAATTGGGTGGAAGTATCAATAACCATTATGATAATTTTTAGAAAGCCAAAATTAAATTTAATCAAATTGAAGCATTCGTATGTACTATTTTTTGAAGCATTCGTATGTACTATTATATGTAATGAAAAAGGGCTATTCTTTTCTACACATAAACTACGTAAAAAGAAAAAAATCATCTTCTTTACGTTAAAGACTTCTTCCGAGTAAATGAATTTCAAAAAAATTCGTTTTAAGACTGGACCAAACACATTTGCCAATAAAATCATAACTGAGAACATAATTATTTTAAATATATGCATAACCATAAATGCCTTCCTTATTACAAAATACAAGTTGAGATGTTTACGTCAGAAATTATTCAAAAACTTCAACTATAATATGGGCATTTCTGACACAAAAACAGTGTATTGAGAATCGAACCCAAAGACTAAATTGTACCGCTCCTAAAAGATGTGTGTGACATTTTTTATAAATTAAAGCTGTTTAGACCAAATCAAACAGATCATCAATTCTTAAAATAATTCAGAAATTTTTTCTTCCAAAGATTGTCAGACGGTCAAAAATGGTTCGTGTTAATGTTAAAGATTGGCAGAAAAAGTAAACATGGTATATTTTTCCAATGAATGATAAAGATATATGAAGAATAATTAAGCATTTATAACTTATAAAAAGTTCAATGTTGATCACAGTTTCTTACAGCTTTTGCCATCTAGCACAGTTTGCCATAAATTCTTATGCATTTTTTTAGTGCTTGAAACATTTACCTTTGCTTTATTTACATTTTTGAGATGAAATAGTTTTATCAAAGAAAATGAATAAGGAGAAAATGAATATGAAATTAATACTGATTATCCTAATTGTTTTGGTAAATAAACTCACGCTTCGTATTTTCCATTCACAAATGTTGCATGTGGTTAACGCAAGATTTATAAGTAACTTTATAATATAAAAAGAGGTACGCAATGCGTACACGTTGGTAGACCGAAATGGGTAAATAGGGCTAAATGAAGTTGGTAAATGAACATAATTGAAATAAAATTGTATATTTAATATCATTTACATCAAATTCGCTCAATTTTTAAATATTGATTTTAGTTATATCACTAAGTAAGTGTTTAACATTTCTGCATTTTTTGAACGTTTTAGCTTAGATTGCACCTGAGCCTCATAAATTTATGTTCTCACAAGAATAGCGACAAGGAAAGTAACGTCATTTAGATTTCTTGAGACTTTTAGGTTTTTTTTCACTGAAAACCATTTTTTCTATGATTGTGTTTTAAAAACGTTTTCTGAAGTGTCTTAGATGTTGTTCAGAGAACGTTTTTTTCGCAACGGTGAATACTGTATTTGTTCTAACAAGTACATTGGTGTGCTAATCTTGTTTAGTTCCGCTTGACTGAATATATAGCAACATGCAATATAATACAAGTCAACATTTGAGTCTCAATGTTTCCGTAAAATTTTGAAATCCAGAGCTTGGGAACAGCATTTCCTGCGATTGGGAGGCGAATTATTTGTTGTACAATACGTTATAAAAACACGTTTACTGCTACACTCACTTAAAATTATAAAAAAACTGGCTATTTGAGTCGCTCGGTTTCCCGGCAATTGACTGGAGCTGCCTGTCATTTGAGGAAAGCGTGACGTCATGTAAGTAACATTTCAGCAAGCGTGCATTAAAAATACAGTGAAATATATACTTTGATATGCCTAATCGCTGTATAGTTGCTGGCTGTTCTAGCGTTCCTTGCCCGGAAAAGGGCATAGGACTTCACCGCATTCCTTTTTATGGATCAGAAGATACTATAAAAAAGGAAAGGAGGAAATAGTGGCTGGATTTTGTCGCTTTAAAACTAGGAAAATGCCCAATATCAAAGATGTCGAGCATTTGCTCGCTGCACTTCAAACCTGAAGATTTTACCAGACGGTATACTAGTTTGCAAGGGAAAATAAGTAGACTGGTGTTTGTCGAAGTTGGTGTGTTTGCTTTTCCTTCTGTTCATCTCTTAGAAAGGCTGATGAAAGAAAGTGTGCCTTCTGAAAGGAACGTAGACAGGTAAAGATTTTTGTTTTGAATCCTATATGTATTCTGCGTGTGACTGATAACTTCGATGAAGGAAGCTTGTTTTGAATTCGTCAAAGATTTTGTGATGGACATTTAATTTTTCCAGTTGATACCATATTGTATTTTGTTGTAGGTTGTTAGAGATATTTTGTCTAGCACAGAAGCAGGTCCTTGCTCTTCTAGTCAAGACACTTTTGGAGCTGAAAGTGCTACCTCTTTGGAAGACAGTCATACTGATGTTGAATTTGTTGATGATGTCTTGCAAGTTCAAACAATTGCAGTACAAGCAGAAGTACAGGTATTGAATTTATTCCAATAATTTATTCAAAAGACTTTTTACACTAGTAGATTGTAAGATCTAAAGATTATATCTTTTTTGTAGGTTCAGAATGGGTTTTGCCAAACTGAAGAAGAATATTGCAAGCAATGTGTTCAATACAAAGAAAACATGAGGTAATTGAAGAGAACGATAGAAAACAAGAATGCTATTATCCAACAACTTACTGAAAGTAAATTGTTTCATTACATTCAATTTTGTTTCTTCGAGAGCATATATTCTTGTGGTGTCTCTATGTCATTTAAATAAATTCATGGCTGCAATTAAATTACTAAAACATGAGTATTGTAACACCTGTGTATATCATGATTTCATAGAAAAAAAGAAATTACGTAAACTGGTGGAACAGTAGTAAAATGTGTCAAGGTGGACAATCAGAATGAGGAAGAAAAGCAGGATGGTAGTGATGATGATAACATGGATATGGATATTGACATTGGTAGTGAGATGGAAAATGAAGGTGAAGTTTGATTTAAATGCTAATAGCTGAAATTATATACCACAAATTTTATTAACATATAAATATGGTCCATAGGTTCTGACAACTATGACATTGAAACAGATTCTTCATTGTGTCTAAGTTCAGCAGCTAACTGAAAATAGTCCTTTAAGGTCTCTTCACCTACCCTTAATTTTTTATTCTTTTCATTTGATAAATGCTTTCATATTTGCTCAATCTGCAGAGGTCCTGATCCAAAATGTCCCGAAGATCAAGAAAAATTAAGAAAAAACGTAGGTGAAAATTTTCCATAGTTATGACGCAGGAAATTTCCATACAGCTGTATCAATTTTTGCTTCGGACGGTTCTAAACGAAAATTCACTTGCCTTTCATTTTTTACGAAAGAAACCAGTCTATACATCTCATTATGTACTAATGCAAAACTTACTTTTTGAACTGTGTTGACTTTCTATAAAACCTATGTAGGCTTTCCCGGACGATTTCGCAAAGCGTAAATTGAAAAATATTCGTTTACATTGTCCCTGTGAACAGTACAAATGTTTTGGTGTCTATGAAGAATTGGAAGTGAGTTGAGCTGAGAAATTCATCAAAAAAGCCTAACCTTATTACTTACTAATTAAAGTTTCTTTTTCGTCAGGGTCATTCTCAAGTTTGTGAGCATGCGCTCATCAGCTGCGTGCATAAACAATGTAACATTCAGTTACCTCGCTCTCTTGATGAACATTTGAAGAATGAATGTGAATATCGAAATGTGAAATGTGATTATTCTGTTAAAGATGTCCCGTATGCTTCACTTAAGGTACCAGGAATATTCGTTCACTGATCAAAGTAACATTGAATTACATATCAAAGAAATATTCAAGACAGAATATTTCTAGAAAACATTTTTACCATAAGAACCGGAAAAATAATTGAACCTTTTCACCTCACATTATGATGCATAAACATCTGTCTCCAACGCTATTTTGTATATCAGATGAAACTTTCCTTTGTTGATCATTTGACGCAAATCTGTGCAAAAAAATGTTGCTTTTAATTTCTTTTAACATATAGAAGCACGAAGAAATAATGTGTGAAAATTATCGAGTGGTTTGTAAGTATTGTATTCAAATGATACCAAGGAAAGATATTGAACATCATGAAAGTACGACTCTTGATGAAGTGCTGTCGATATGTGAATTTCAAGCCATTAGTTGCAACCATCATAAAGTAAGAATGTTTGGACTGATTTATAATTTCATGTCAGCAGTAGTAGGTGCTTAGTAGCTCCCACCGACAATCTTGCATTTGTTCTTTGCATAAAAACATTTTACGTCAAAAACCCTTGAGATGATAGTATGGTATAAAATTGCTTAGAAGTTTTAAAATTTCAAACAAACAATGTTAAAAACGTTGACTTTGTATTTAAATGCAGCTGCATCAGGTTTACATGAAGTACACGTTTATAAATTCACCCATTTACAAATTTCTTAAATTCAGAACATATGATTATTAAGATACTTGATGTTTACCCAAGCTAAGGAGCTAGAGCTTTCCCGATAAGCAAGTTGCAGTAAATATAATTCAATCTGCCGTATCAACGTACTTTGTACTCCTTACTTTACACGTGTATGGAGACTGGGTGGACCGGGAGAAAGTCAGACGTGCCAAAAAAAGAAATTTCTCGTTTACTTTTCATATAGATAAAATATAAGTTGAGAAACAAGATTTATTAATGATCCATAATGTCTTAGTCATAAATAAAGATTGAAATGAAATAACTAGTAAATGGCATCAAATATTTTGTTAAAAGAATGTGCTGGCAGTATCTTTTTCTCACTTCACAGACTTTAAAACGAAAGGAGATCAGACAACATATGAATAACACTCCAATTAATCCCGTGAGCCTCTTGTTACGATATGTTATAGCATTTGTTATACAGCTTGGTAACTTTGTACTACGTCGAGAGTTTACCACTCCATTGCGAAGACTTGTTTACAAAGTCACTGCTTTTCATGCATATTACTTTGAAAAATTTGTGATGTTAGATGGCAAAATTACAGGTCTGGAAAGAAGAATTGAGTTTCTCGAGGGTCGTAGTGGTAGCAATAGTTATAACACCCAGTTGTCCCCAGATGTTTCCTTGTTGCGTGAAAGAATTGCAACACTTGAGCGACAAGCGAGAGACGATTCTTCCACTATACAACGGTTTCGTGAGCGTTTAGATCAAATAGACGAATCAATAGTGAGAAACATGGTGAACATTACGAACCTCGAAGCACAACGTGAAGAGCGCGCACTGGGATCAAATCAGGCCATACACAGCTATAATGGTACGTTACTTTGGAAAATAGACAACTTCAATCGAAAGCGACAGGACGCCATTAATGGTGTTAAGAATGCCTGGTACAGTCCTCCAATTTGCAGTTCTCAATATGGTTACAAGATGTGTGCTAAGATCTATATGAATGGTGATAATCGGGGAAATGGAACTCATTTATCTTTGTTTTTTGTTATCATGAAAGGTAAAGCTATTTTTAACAGTTTCTACTTAAGCTGCCTCAAAAATTGGAAGTGGATTTTTTAGTTATAACATAGGCTGTCTAAGAATGTTTGGTAGCATGCAGATGATGGCAAAAATCGCGTTAAAATTGAGATCATGTAATTTGATTGCTCCAGAGGCATAATATATAAGAGTACAGAATACGCCACGAGACTCGTAGTGCTTTTTGGAATAGATAGGATTACAAGTTACATGCCTAGTTGGAACAAGTTTTTGAATAATGTTGAACATGATATGAAGAATATAAAGCCAAAGATTTTTTTTATCAATTCACCGAAAAAGCAGACTAAAGCTTACAATTGTTTGTTTGTGAGATGCGATACTATTTAGTTTTTTTGATCATGTACGAAAATAAATGGCGATAGAAGGGAAAGGTATGCATTGGGATTTATAAAGACTTATATCATATTATTAAAAAAATTTATATTGTGTATGATAATATTTCTAGGTGATTACGATGCTCTACAAACATGGCCATTTTAAAAGAAGATCACAATAATGTTAATGGATCAAGGAAATGGTGATCACATGATTGATGCTTTTCGTTTAGATACTCGAAGTTCCCTATTTCAGCGCCCAGAGTCTAATTTGAATCTATTTGGATTGCCACTTCTAATTTGGCCGATAGAGAGTTTAAGCAATTTTCCGTTCATTAAAGATGATACAATGTTTATTAAGTTAATTGTTGAATGAACAAAAAATCTAACTACACTCGCTCCTGCTTCTCTACCTTAGACACTGAAACTATCTCAATTCTTTATCAGTCTTAAATTAGCTTTATACTTAGGCAAACGCAACCCGAGCTAAATATGTTGCAAACAACTCTCCTAGCTCTTTCACGTAATTTTCAGTTGTCTATACAAAATTGTATTTGTTGTAAAGCACTCAATAGTGTTTATATAAGTTTTTTTGTTTGCTTCTGGTCGGCATATCCACATTAAAGAAATATACAACAGTAGGGCCACTTCGCTGTGCAATTGGCTGCTGTATATTTAATTAGTTTACTGGCTGCCGTTTGCCATATCGTCAATCCTATTGGTCACAAAATGCAATTTATTGGCTGCCACTATGGTAATCACATACCTAATAAGATATGCGTGGCACGAAAAAACTCAATGGAGTGGCCCTGCTTTATGTGTTCTGTACCGTGGCATTGTTATGAAGTATGACGCCATGTTTACTTTATAACACGGGATCAAATGTACGTTTGCTCATATCATATGTACAGTTTTGAACTTTTGTCATTTTGTTTTATTAGAATCGAATTTTTCTACATTTGAAGCGTTTTCTTTCTCAAATTATTTCATAGCACGAACAATATTTACAAAGAATCATCTTACGTGTGTTGTGTTTCCTTATTTTATATTCCCTCTTTAAATAATTCATTCGCAATAAAGATGGTTCGAAAGAATTTTGACTATATTTTGAGTAAATAACACCTCTTAAAAATTTTTGTGTTCACCACTGGAACCTGTGGTTGGTTTTTATTGTTTATGCCTATATGAAGGCAAAAAAGTACACCTTACACATGTAAATCAATGGAATAAAGTTAGTCATAGTTAAAAGAAATATCATTTTTGATAAGCGTAGTAAATTCCTGTAGATGAAGCAACTAGCCCCAGTTAGATTTATATGTATTGAGCATTCTGGCGTCCTGACCACTACTGTGTGACAGTAGGTGCTTTGAGAACTGAAATATATGATTTTTGTACATTTCCACCATTTAATCTCCTTTTCAAATGTAAGATCGAAGAAATGAATAATGGTTACATAGTAGTAGTAAATCTGTAAGGTGCCTACGTTATTGAATTTAGGAACCCATTTTATGAGTATGACACTAACAGAGCAAAGTTTTGCATTAGAGTTGCACCTCGAAAATTTTATTTTTACAATCAAGACATGAAACATTGATCGAAAAAGCTTAACTGCTCTAGAATATCAAGCGTTTTATCCCGACGTTATATATTTTAGGTGGTGTAAAAACTGTTTTCGTTCACTCTTGCTCATTCATCATCACCTACACTGACACAAGTTATCTTATTTCTTTTATATTTTACATAGTGTAAAGACTGTTCTCGTTCTCTGTTGTTCATTCATCCCCACCTACACTGACACAAGTTATCTTATTTCTTTTATATTTTACATAGTGTAAAGACTGTTCTCGTTCTCTGTTGTTCATTCATCCCCACCTACACTGACACAAGTTATCTTATTTCTTATATATTTTACATAGTGTAAAGACTGTTCTTGTTCTCTGTTGTTCATTCATCACTACCTACACTGACACACGTTATCTTATTTCTTATATATTTTAAATAGTGTAAAGGCTGTTCTTGTTCTCTGTAGTTTATTCATCACTACCTACACTGACACACGTTATCTTATTTCTTATATATTTTACATAGTGTAAAAACTGTTCTTGTTCTCTGTAGTTCATTCATCACTACCTACACTGACACAAATTATCTTATTTCTTATATATTTTACATAGTGTAAAGACTGTTCTCGTTCTCTGTTGTTCATTCATCCCCACCTACACTGACACAAGTTATCTTATTTCTTTTATATTTTACATAGTGTAAAGACTGTTCTCGTTCTCTGTTGTTCATTCATCCCCACCTACACTGACACAAGTTATCTTATTTCTTATATATTTTACATAGTGTAAAGACTGTTCTTGTTCTCTGTTGTTCATTCATCACTACCTACACTGACACACGTTATCTTATTTCTTATATATTTTAAATAGTGTAAAGACTGTTCTTGTTCTCTGTAGTTCATTCATCACTACCTACACTGACACACGTTATCTTATTTCTTATATATTTTACATAGTGTAAAACTGTTCTTGTTCTCTGTAGTTCATTCATCACTACCTACACTGACACAAATTATCTTATTTCTTATATATTTTACATAGTGTAAAGACTGCTCTTGTTCTCTGTTGTTCATTCATCACTACCTACACTGACACAAGTTATCTTATTTCTTTTATATTTTACATAGTGTAAAGACTGTTCTTGTTCTCTGTTGTTCATTCATCATCACCTAAACTGACACACGTTATCTTATTTCTTATATATTTTAGTTGATGTAAAGACTGTTCTCGTTCCCAGTAGCTCATTCATCACTATCTACACTGACACACGTCATCTTATTTCTTATTATCAAGAAATAATTAACGTGTGGCATGAAAAAAAGTCATAAACGAATGAATTTCTTGCCTTTTCATTAAATTTCCGACGGCTAGTTCCGAAAGAGCATTAGTATAAAATGGTAAATTATCAAGAAGAGAAAGCAGCAAAATTAAAAACAACATACTTTGTCACAACTATGGATAAAAACAACAACAAAATTGAATAATAGTAAATTTTCAAAATGTTAGAAGTAATTGAAGTGATGAAGTCCTTTTTCGATACATTGCACTGTCGACTACTTCCGGATTAGACTCGGTAGCGGGCGGTATCATTAGCGGTATCGATACAAAGGTAATCCGCTGATATGTATTTTAGACTGGATAAAGCACCATGTATAAAATATAGTAAGATAATTGAAGCCGGAAGTTGGCTCATCTGGTTATGACCTTCGGGGGGGGTATCGGTCCCACTTTACTATACTTTTGTATTACAAAATCACAGTTTTTGCGTTTTTATTCGTTCTACAAACTTTTGATTCGAGCAAAATTTTTGTGAAAGGGACAGAACAACCGGCAAAGGTATTTAATCTTTAAAAGTTTGTCTTCTTGGCTTTATAATGGCAGAAAATTAAAGATGGTATAAGGTCGACCTTCATTGTTTTGAAACAAACTGGAGATTATATTATGCTACTGCTTCTTAAAAAATGTAGAAATATTACAGAATCCTACTTCTGCTAATATAATTTCATCTGCAATGACGTTTATGGAAGTTGCTTCAAATTCACTTATTTAACAACACTTTGTTATTCACATCGCTAATATCATAATAATCTCAAATTACGTCTTTATTGTATCAGTGAAGAAACAAAACAAATCGACATAGGAAAATAATCAGAAAGACATTTTGATGAACAATAGTAAGTTGAAAATGGTATCATCAAACTCTACGAGATGTACATCATCAAAATATGCGAATTAAAGTACCTCTGTTGTCATTAAGCGAAGCAAAGGTTTCGACCAGTTCCTATGTGAACAACTTCAATATCGATGAATATGTTGAAAATATGAATACCTTTGTTCTTACTTTGTTGTAAATTTGTAATTTAAGTATTTATCTTCTAAAAATGCCTCGCACGGCTGAAATTGTCCTCGTCACCTTCAACTTTCAAATTTAATGGCAACTTGCCATTTTATTTTCAGTCGTTACAAAGCCAAAAAAACAGAGCTTCGGGGTTAAAACTCTCTACCGGTTTTCCTCTACTTGTTATAAAAATTTTGCTTTAATAAGAAGTTTGTAAAAGGAATAAAACGCAAAAACTGTGGTTTTGTAATACAAAAATATAGTAAAGTGAGACCCGATACCACCCATGAAATCAGTAACAAATAATCTATCATCCGTTTTCACTTTTCGCAAAAGATACATTATCCAATTAATATTCATATCGGTGAGGTAATTGCATTGGGTAAGCGTCAGTAATCTGCTGTCACTATGGATATCTTGTTGTATTTTGACACTTCTCAGCAAATCTTTGTGAAATGTTTTTTTGTTTTCTCGTATTGAAATCAGGTATGTAATATCGATGTTAACCTAAAACACTACTTCGAATTTTGTACTTTTTTGTATCAAACCATCAGCAAAAATTGCGTAGCTTATAATATGCCGGCGACAACAAATTAAATTGGAGGGAAGGCTTTGCAAGCCTTTGCTATTTATGTTGGAAATATTCTTGTTCTTTAACATCAAAGATTTTTACAATGTAAACTGTCTTAAGTAAAGTTTATTGGTGTGTATTGCTCAAGAGCCAAATTTTGAACATACGAACGATATTTAGTATATAGCGGATATAGTTGACACGTCGACAAAGTCAAAGACTCAAAGTAAGCCAAAATTTCATGCTTGGATAAAATTAAATTGCTAAAAAAAATCATTGATTTCGCTCTAAAGACTTTAGGGAAAAACCATATACCAAGGCAATAATACTAAGTTCTACAAAATGCGATGTAAATTCAATAGCATGTCAACAAAGGCTGCGTTGGCTTGTTTGCTCAATGATTGGACTTGTATCAATTTATGGAGAGTATTTGATTCTTTTTGGAGAAAAATATAAAAATTTGCTCTCTACTTATTTTTCAATAGATAGCGAGCAGTGAAGCAAAGGATAAGGAGTAGTGAAAAAACATGGCTGATGACATTGCCGTCTCGCGTTTTACTATAAGCGGCCGTGACACCTGTTTAAGTTTTTTATGCAATCAATTTATTTAAATATTAAATACAATCCTCGATTCGTGTGCAATATTTGTCACGCACGCGATCCCGCGTGATTTTCACGTATGTTTTGTCTTAATCTTATATTTTAACAAGGTAGGCAACTCTCGAT